AAAAGTAAAAACAAAAGTCCCTGCTTTCAAGGAACTTACATTCTACTCATTCATTCATTCAATAAACATTTAATACTACTATGCACCAGGCACTTTGCTAAGCACTGGGGATACAAAGAAAGGCAAAAGGCAGTTTCAGTCTTCGAGGAGCTTACAGTCTAATGTGGGAGACAACATACAAACAAATATATGTAAGGTTAGCTACTCACAGGATAAGTAGGAAATAATTAAAAGAGGGAAAACACTGGAATTAGAGGGGTTAGGGAAGGATTCCTATAGTGGGATTTTAATTGGAACTTAAAGGAAGCTAGAGAGGTCAGCAGTCACAATGGAGCAGGGAGAGCATTTCAGACATGGGAGTCAGCTGGAGAAGATGCCAAGAGAAACAGTGTCTTATTTGTGGAACAGCCAGAAGGCCAGTGTCATTGGATTGAAGAGTACTTGTTGGGAAGTAAGGTTTAAGAAGCTTGGAAAGGTGGGAAGGGATTAGGTTATGAAGGGCTTTGAATGCCAAAAAGAGCATTTTGCATTTGCTCTGGAGGCAATAGGGAGCAGTTGGAGTTTATTGAGTTAGAGGAGTGACCTGGGCAGACCTATGTTTTAGGAAAATTATTTTGGTGGCTGAATGGAGAATAGATTGGAGTGGAGAGAGACTAGAGTCAGGCAAACCAACCAGCAGGCTAGTGCAATAATCAAGGCATGAAGTGATGAGGCCTGCACTAGAGTGGTGGCAATGTCAGAAGAAAGAAGGGGGCATATTTGAGAGATGTTGCAAAAGTGAAATCAAAAGGCCTTGGCAACAGTTTGGATATGGGGGAGCAGGGTACAAGATAGTGAGGAACCCAGGATAACTCCTAAGTTTCTAGCCTCAAGGACTGGGAGGATGGTATTGCCCTCTACAGTAATAGGGAAGTGGAGGGTGGGGAGGATTTAGGGGGAAAGATAATGAGTTCTGTTTTGATCATGTTGAGTTTAAGATGTCTACTTGATATACAGCTCATGATGTCTGGAAAGCAGTTAGAGATGTGAGATCAGAGGTCAAAGAAGAGACTAGAGCAGGAAAGGTAGATTTGTGAATCATAAGCATAGAGGTGGTGATTAAATCCACGGGGGTTGATGAGATCACCAAGGGAAGTAGTGTAGAAGAAGAGAAAAGGACCCAGAACAAAGCCTTGGGGGACACCTACAGTTAGAGGGCATGATCTGAAGGAGTGTTCAGCAAAGGAGACAGAGAAAGAACAGTTAGACAGGTAGGAGGAAAACCATGAAACAGTGGTGTTCCAAAAAGCTAGAGAAGGTATCCAAGAAGAGAGATTAGTCAATAGTGTCAAAGGCTTCAGAGAAGACAAGGAGAATGAGGATTGAGAAAAGGCCATTGAGTTTGGCAACTAAGAGATCATTAGTAACTTTCGAGAGAGCAGTGGAATTTCAGTGGAATGTTAAGGTCAGAAGCTAGATTGTAAGGGGGTAAGAAGAGAGTGTGAGGAGAGAAAGTGGAGTTACTTATTGCAGGCCTTTTCAAGGAGTTTAGCTAGGAAGGGCAGAAGAGATACAGTATGATAATTAGGGAGGGGGTGGTGGTGGTAGAAGCATCAAGTGAGGATTTTTTCAGAATAGGGGAGACATGGTTATGTTTGTAGATAGTAGGGAAGGAGCCAGTAGGGAGGAAGAAATTGGAAACAAGTGAGAGTGGGGATTACCGAAGGGTGGTCTGTTGGAGGAGATAGGGCCACTTTATTATGTGAGACAGGGGTGAAAGAGGAAAGAGTGGCAGAAAGCAGTTGAATGATAGGTGATCAGGAAGAGGGGAGAAGGAGTTCAGGGAGAATGGCTTCAATTTTTTTTCTGTAAAATATGAGACAAGATTTTCAGCTGAGAAAGTAGGGGGAGGAGGAGCCTTGGGAAGTTTAAGGAGGGATGAAATGGTTTGGAAGAATGTTATGGAGAGTGGAATAGTGAGATGATCAGGGAGTAGGATTGCCTACCAGCAGGGAGTGCCCAGTTAAGACTGTGTGATATAAATTTGTAGTGGACCTAGTCAGAATGGTTGCATGACTGTTTTCACCCTCATTTAGCAACAGTGTGTAGGTGTGAAGGTGTCAAATGGCGGGCATGCTCTGAGCCTGAAGCATGGCTGAGCATAATTAGAAATATGGTGAGGGGGGGTGAGGGATTCAAGGGAAGAAGACAGAATAGAATTGAATCGGTTCACCAAGGAGTCAAAATGGGGAGGAGGGAGTGGCTAGTGCAGGGGAGATGGCTCGGGAGAGAATTGAGGGGTCAAGGGATTAGAGGTCATGGTGAGGATGAGGAGTAGGGTTATATAAGGGGAAGTGGAGGGAGAGATGAAAAGCCAGTAAATTACAGTCAGATAAGGGGATTTCAGAATTCTTGAACATGGAGATAGTACATTTGTGGGTGATGGCAAGATCAATGGTATGACCATCTTTGTGTATAGCTAAATTGGGATGGAGAAGTAGCTAACTGGAAGAGAGTAGGTTGAGGGACTGAGTGGTTAGGGTATCATTATGTATGTTGAAGTCCCTAGTATAAGTGTAGGAACTAAGGAAGAGAGAAAAATTGTAGGCTAGCTACCGAACTCATTGAGGAAGAAAGAAGAGTGGCCTGGGGGAGGGGGGTGATGTCTATAGACACCTGATGCCAGCATTTTGATTGGGTGATAGATATGAATAACATGAACCTCAAAGGAAAGAAGTTACTGAGTAAAGGGGAAGGGGGAGAACCTGGAAGTGGCAATGGGAAACACCCACACACACAGTGTAGTACACAAAAGAAATACAGTTGCAAAGTCATTTTGGGTCAGGGGACACACTAATCTGGAGAAATCAGGAAAAGTTTCTTGTCTATCTGAAGCTGACAAAAATCAGAGTGAAAGGCCTGAGGAAACGAAAGGGGAGGCTTCTGACAATTCTAGGTTGTGAGGCAGCTAGGTGGTTCAGTGGATAGAGGGCTGGGCCTGGAGTTAGGGAAATCTGAGTTCAAATTTGGCCTCAGACACTCACTAGCTATGTGATCCTGAGCAAGTCACTTAACTTCTGTTTGCCTTAATCCACTGGAGAAGGAAATGGTAAACCACTCCAGTATCTTTGTCAAGAAAACCCCATGCAGACTCACCAAGAATCCAACATGACTGAACAACAACAACAACAACAACAATTCTAGGTTAAGGGTCAATGACCTTGCTATATAAGAGCATTCCAGTTAAAAAGAGCACCACCACACCTGGTTAAACCTGAGGCTGTAGGAGGTTGAATCTAAGCTTCCCAATGACAAGCAAGCCCTGGGAATCAAGCAGATCACCTCATTCATGTTCTTTGAAGACTCTAGAGCCTGAGTAACCTGCCAGGCCTCGTCCAGCAGCAGCAGCCTCATGGTTGAATGACTTGTCTGTCCCAGGCCAGAAGTAGCAGTGGCCTAGTGACCTGCCTAGTCCAGTCTAGTAGTAGCCATGCCCAGCAGCCCAGTGACCTGCTTGACCCAGCTCAAGAAGGATTGCTCCATGGTGGCAGCTAGGTGGTGCAGTGGATAGAGCACTAGCCCTGGAGTCAGGAGGACCCGAGTTCAAGTCTGCCCTCAGACACTTGACACTTACTAGCTGTGTGACCCTGGGCAAGTCGTTTAACTCCATTGCCTAGCCAAAAAAAAAGAAAAAGAGAAGAATGGATTGACCATCTGCATGAGGCCCCACACCCTATTTGGAGCCAGCCTAACCTAAAAATGGAGTGACTCACCATGACCAATATTGATAACTTGCTCCATAGTGAACTTCATGAAGACCCTTGGGAGAAAGAAATATTGAGGCCCTGCTGTTCCAGAGTTATGAATTGCCTTGGGCACGTGAGTTCCCTACATGCAAGCTTCACTATCATTGCATTATAAATCTATGGCAACACTCCTCTTCCTACAGACTTCATAAGTTTTTGTTGGAGAATGTTTCCTGTGCATTGTAAATACTATTCTTGTCATGCTATTTGAATAAAAGTGTTTTCCAAAAGCTAATAAAGTCTACTGGCTGATTGGTAAGGGAAAGCATACTGGTGGGATCTCAGGAGGTAAAATTTTATGAATAGTCAGGCACAGGATTACCTCTAGAACAGGAGGTAGCTATTGACCCTTTGGAGACCCGACCTACTAATGTTAGGAGTGAGAGTTGAGCCTAGAGAGTGAGCTAATTTCAAGGAAAATTAACCCCATAAAAGGGAAATAACTTGTCCTGTGTTATTCAAGTAGTAGGTAGCAGAGCTGGGATTGGCACAGTGTTTTTTCCTTTAGGCCTCATTGAAAACTTTTTGAAGGATGAAATTGATCCCCTGGTTTTACTGATTAGCAAATATGTCTCTAGATTGCCAATCTATTTTCATTCTATGGGTTTCCCTATTATTTTATTTCAGGTATACACCACAATAGTATAGTCGACATAGTATTGGAGTAAGATGGTGATATAGAGTAACTAAGGAAAGTAGGGATGCTGGAGTGATCTGTGGGGTGGTCTCTAGAGGATGATGGTGGATACTATACTGTCAGAAGTTTATAGGGACCGGAGGAGTGATGGGCAGGAGCTGGGATGATAATAAAAAATATTAGACTATGGATTGGTACTTTGCTGCAAAATAAAAGTTTAAAAAAATTTTAAAGGAAGAACGGATGAATAAGCTGCTTCTAGAATATTTGCAAGTCAATAACGTCTTGCAATAACGCACTAAGATAAAACTCCTGCGCTCCTATATACCTTTAGCAGCTCCAAGGCATCGCCCCTTTAAGAAGTGGTCCTTTCCGTGGCTTCCCTTCCCTCCCTTTTCCTCCCCTCCCACCCACCCAGGCTGAGAAGCCCTGTACTGGGACCGCTCTCCGCCCCCCACCCTCCCACCCCAGCAGCGGGAATAGGCGGAGCAGCTGTTATCTGGCTGCTGCCACGGCTGGGGAGGCGGATAGGGGGCGGGGGCTCTGGGCGCTGGCAAGTCCGGTCAAGCGGCCAGGGAAAGGCGACTAGGAGCTGGAGGCGAGGGGGCATGGTCCGGGAACCAACGGACTGAGCCGGGGCTGGCGGCCAGTAGCAGCAGTAGTAGCAGCACATCGGAACTTGGGCCGAATCGAGCAGCCCTGTGCGCGACGGGACCATGGGATGCTGCACTGGCCGCTGCACGCTTATTTTCATCTGCACTTTACAGCTGGTAAGTAGCCTTGTCCACTCTTCCCCAAGAAGCTTTCACCAGTCAAAGAAAGAGAGTCTGGGCTCCCTGCTTCCAGCGCTCTAGAGAGGGCTCTTCTGTCCAAACTTTCCCTACACCCTGGGACTCAGCCTCCGCGGACAGGGTAGTGCCATACCCCAGCTGCCTAAAAAGGGCAGGGGGCGAAGGGACAGGTGGCGGCCAGGTTAAAGCGGCGTCAGGGGACCCCAGCCTCGCGAACAAAAGCTCAATCCCTCCGGGCCAAACAGAAAAAAGGGGAGCCCCTTTGTTAGCGTGTTGGGGGCCCGGGCCGGAGTGGGAAGAAAAATGTTCTCATCCTTTACCATTAGAAAGCAGGGGCTCCCTTCTGTTTGTCTGTCCTGAAGGAAGAGACCCTTCAGCTCCAAGGGAATTGAGGGTTTGGACTGGTGTCGGTGAGGTTTGGGCATTATTGTTCAAGGTCCTCGTAACTTTGCACCTTCGATTTTTATGTTAAGAAAAGTCCGACAATAAACAGTTCAACAAGTACTGGGTTTTCTTGAAGCTTCGGTGTGAATAGGGGATGTATATCCCTGTGTGTATCGTTGATAGGGGCCATCTATGTATATTGCCAGTGGACCGTACATACACACACAAATATACGAGTCCGAATTCATTACCGGGAGGGTCACTTTTTATTAGACACAACCAGATTGAGAGAACTGGAAGTGGATCTTCCTGAAAGACAACTGAGGCAAACCAATAAGGAGATGAGGATTATGTGAGACAGTTCCCTCCGCATTTCTGTATGTTTCTGTGCGTTCGCAATGTGTGAGTGGGTTGTTGAGGGAGCGGGAGAAGGAAAAGGGGTGGTGTCGAAAGGGTCCACTGTTTGGCTTTCCAGTGTTTGTGAGCCCCGGTGTGCTGGACAGACGTACCACTTTAAAAGTAGTAACATCTCAGAGAGAAGTAGCTTAGACATTTCGGTTAACATTGTTTTCCCTGTACCTCACGAAATCTTGTGTACTGTTTTAAGAGGCTCTTTTTGTTCCATCTTCAAATAAGTGCTCTGAGAAATCCGGAGGATAGAATGCTTTTTTTTTTTTTTTTTTTTTTTTTTAAAGAAACTGAGTTTCATAGCTTAATCTCTAGAATGCTGATTTCCCGAATTGAACTGATTTGCCTTTCTCTCTGCTGGCCTGTCAGCCCAGAACCGGGATAAACAAAGGTTTCCCTGTTTTGTGATTCTCTGTTGGGCTTGGCTTGTATCTGGTAGTTCCCTGGCTTATCAATTGCTAATAGACTGGGGTTTCTCCCATCTTAAAAAGGAAATGCCCTCTCTTTGTTATTACAGTTTTTGCTTGGACATTTGGTTGCTGCTAGGGCCATTGTTGTTCTTCCAGTTTTAGAAGGGAAAGGCTAAAAAAAAGCAGCACATACTTTTTAATGGAACTTCTGGCCCATCTCATAGAGATGCAGCTTATGTTTCCTGGAAATTGAATTTTTTAATTTTTTTAAAAATTTTTTCCGTTAGTGTGGTGGGGTTGAGAGTGGGGTTGGGTCAAAAAAATAGTTGAAGGGGATCTCTAAGGCCCCTTCCAGCTCTAAATACTATATAAAGAAGGGGCTAAATCAATACTTAAAATAAAAAGGCCAATTATTCATTTAACAAGCATTAAATGCTGAAAGTTGATAGAAGACCTACTAAGTGGAGGCAAGAGAATACAAAGTTGAATAAGACACAACTCTTGCTCCTGCCTTCACAAAACAGTCTAGTTGAGAAGCTAGGATATAAACACCTTCAAAATAGATAACAGTTTCAGAATTAAATATAAGAGGTCATGAGGGAGAGAGTGATAAAATGCCAAATGAAGGGTGTACAGAATAATGTGCATTGAGCTCTAAGGAGGGAAGAGAACTCCAATAAGACTCACCTAGCCTCTAAAAATAGATTTTGATTTTTTTTTGTTGACGTCAAACTGTAATTTCATTACCAAGTATTTACTGAGTGCCTACTATGTGCAAAGCACTGTACTGGGGTCTGTTTGGAATACAAAAATTAAGATACCATAGCTATTCTCAAAGAGCACATAGCTTGGTAAGGGGTTGGGGTAAAGAAAAAACCCTCTATCCCCACTACATTCCCCCTCCCAAACACACATACACATCTGAAATACAAAGCAGAATGTGGCACTGTAATACAGAGCAGAGGAAAGATTATTTTTATCTGGAGTGATCTAAGAGGAGGTGGCATTTGGACTGATCCCTGAAAGATGGATAGGATTTCAGTAGGATAAACCATTTCAGTTGGAGGTAACAGCCTGAGCAAAGGCATGGAGGTAGGGCGTGGTGGTGGGGGGCAGGTTCTTGTTTAGCAAGGGATGAATTGTTCAGCTCTTTTGGATTGTACGACAGGTGACTAGAAGGCAATGTGCTCATTTGTAAAATAAGAGAGTTGGACTAAATGATCTCAAAGATCCCTTCTATTTCTGGATCCTATAATATCTTTTTTTGTGTGTGTGTGAGGGCAATTGGGGTTACGTGACTTGCCCAGAGTCACACAGCTAGTGAGTGTTATGTGTCTGAGGCCAGACTTGAATTCAAGTCCTCCTAACTGCAGGGCCAGTGCTCTATCCACTTCGCCACCTAGCTGCCCAATCCTATAATATCTTTGGAGAAGATCTAGGAGTGTCTTGAATGCAAAGATAAGGAATTTGGATTTTATTCTGCAGACAAAATAGAGAATGCTTTAGGAAGGATGGTCTGGCACCTTTCACGGCCTGAATTGAAGGGGGAGTGGGAAGATAAGGAAAGATATTCCAATAGTTGTGGCATGATATAATAAAGACCTGACCTAGAGTAGTAGCAGAAAACTTAGTAACTGAATGTTTGTTTATTTGGGAGGAATAGGGGAGTGAGAAAGATTGAGGAGTCACAGATGTCTCTGGTTTCCAATCAGTCTATGAATAAATATTTATTAAGTCTCTACTATGTGCTAGATGCTGGGGATTCCAGCCTAAGTTGATGCCATTAATAGAAGTAGTTAAACAAACAAACAAATACATGAATAAATAGCTTTGGGCAGTAGGGAAGGGGATTTGAAATAATGAGTTTAGGTGTGTTGAATTTGAGGTGCCAGTTGGATGTAAACATAGAGATGTCCTTTTATGCAGTTGGAAGTGCAGGACTGGAGTAGTATGGTCCAAGTGAGGACTAGCGATATTGATTTGGGAGTCATCTATCTCCCAAATCAATAAGTAATTGAACAAAGGTGGGAACTAACAAAATGTGGCCTTAGGAATTTGACTCACCTGGGGTTATCTATTTTTAAATTGTCAGATTCACTGGCATTAATAATTTCAGAAGGCGTTTATTTAAACAATAAGTTAAGAAAGAAATAATTGTTACTCAGGGTGTGACTTGTAATTCACTGAAAGAGTAGGTGATAAGGGGTTGTGACCTCAGATTCTGTTCCCTTGGACTCATTACTTCTGTGTTACCTGGCCATGATGGTGGGCTGGGTCCTTGGGGTCCTGACCGTGGCTAGGTAGTTGTTTTCTGGCCAGGCAGACAGCACACTGAAAATGTACCAGGGCTGCCTTTGAATGGGCTATTGTTCTAATAGATAATTGCTGTCTGTCGGTTAAATTCACCAGTTCATCATCTTGCTTTGGAAAGAAGGAGAAGAGGGCTTTACACCAACCACTGCTCTCAGGTCACTGGGATTTGATGTGGTGGAGGGAGGGAGATAAAAAGGAGAGGAGTTTGTTTGACAACCGTGGGAGTTTTCTAGTTACCAAGATACAAGACAAAGACCCCCAAGCATTTCTTCTTGGGAGCCTCCTCCCCAAAGAATAGGGTGAACTTTGCCATTCTGAAGCCAGGCTGGATGCAATGGACTTAGAAATTTCCCAGGATTCTTACTTCATTACAGTGATGAGGTAAGAAAAATAGTAGAGAAGATTTAAAAATTCACCCCTGAGCTGGGTTGTAGGGGCTGAAAATCTGAAAGAAAGTCATAACCAGTTGCCAGCACCTTTTGGGATTACAATGCCTCTTTCTGTTAGGAGTTTAATTTGCCTCATATGTGTTAGCAATTCTCATTATCTTGTCGGGATCCATTGAGTATATTGGCATCGAGAATAAAGACTTCCCCAGCCTCTCTCCCAGACCCCTATCAACCCCCCACAGAGGCCCTTTTTTTATATCAATAACATCAGCTCTAAACTTGAAATATCTCCTTTCCAAATTGCCTTGTGGTTCTTTTTAAACTTTTAGGTCTTTTCATTCATTACTTGTACCAGTGGAAAAAAAAAAAAAAGGCCAAAGAGAGTGCCAAAGTGAAGAAAAAATCAGGATGTAAACTTGAACGCATTTTAATAAAACTGTTAATAGAACTCATTGCAGCAGAGGTATCTTAGTGATCAGAACCTTCACTGTTATTTCCAACATGAAATAAGATGTTATATCATGCCCTGGCCATTTCCTTCCCTGCTCTCAAAGCTAGAAATCTTCTTCATTTGGGGAGTGGAAGGGGGGGGGGTGCAAATTTGAGAAGCTCCCTGCAATGGTAGGGCCCAAATTTTGGGGTAGATACCAGGAATGTCAACCAGAGTTGACAGGTCAGAGCCAATAAGCTATACTTAGAGCAGAAGCAGGGTCAAAACCTGGACCATAGTAAAATCTTAGCGACTGCTGAAAAGCAGGGTCAAGGGTTAGGCTGGAGTAGTTTGTGGGTGGAAGTAGGTAACAAGATGTTAGGTTTGATAGAATTCCCTAAATTTGCCATATTCAATTATTCCTAATGTGGATGGTTTTATGCTTGGCCCCCCCCAGCTTCCTCTCAATTTCCTTTAGCTGAAGATTTCCCTCATCATCTTCCATAATAACAATACATTCTAAGTAATGTCAGACAGGTGGGAGGGTAACATGGGAAGAGCTGCCCTACGTAGTGCAAGATTTGACCTGAGTTCTGGCCTCAGTTTGGCCTCAGACCAAACACTAGCTGTGTGACCCTGGGCAAG